GCCACTCCACTAAATGCACTCTCCTCTCAATGGATGGTCCTTTCTGAGCCACTTGATCTTACATTTCTTACTTTATTTCCTAATTACCTCATACCTCCAATTCAATTCCTTCTGAACATCTGACATTTTGGAGCACACTAGCAATCACCCCACCTCTCTGCCTCTGCTGATGTTTATTTCTTCACCTGAAATCCTCCTTCCCTCTTACATTTCTAGGACTTTGAAAGTGCTACCTGTCCTTTCAAGTGCAACTGCATCTCACAAACACACATAGACCTTCTTAAATCTTCTATTTCAAGGAACTCTTTCTCTTTGATGCTTTATCATGCTCACACTTCTCATATGGCACTTAAGATCTGCCCTGTACTATAAGTGTATGTATATCTGGCTCATTTCTCCAATGAACTATAAACTTCTTAGTGTAGAGACTGTTTCTTACTCGTTTTTAGATTCTATACATAACTGATGGTCAGTAAAGATTTACTTAAAAAGAGCATCAGTCCTTCTAACCTAAATTTCTCCTCTTCAATAATACTTTTATGAGTATTGACAAAGTACAACTTAACCAAAAAGTGTAAGTGAAAATTATAAAATGCTTGAGAGGTAGCACATTAATAAGCCACCTTCACTATTTTCTTGTGCTTCCAAATTGTGTTCTTAAGAGAAGATTATAAATAAGATTTATAGCTTAATATTTAGATCATTGTCTCACCTTGACATTTCAAACCATTCTCTTCCAAACCCAAAATGTACTAGCCTACTGAATACGCTTCATAAACTTCACTAAATCGTCACTGGACAATATGGCTCTTTTAGTCATTTGACCTTTTTCTCATCATACATTTAAAAAAAACCCTGAAACTAAGAGTCCATTGGGTTTGGAAAATATTTTATCTTCAAAATAGTAAAGCTTTTCGTCACTGGACAATATGGCTCTTTTAGTCATTTGACCTTTTTCTCATCATACATTTAAAAAAACCCCTGAAACTAAGAGTCCATTGGGTTTGGAAAATATTTTATCTTCAAAATAGTAAAGCTTTTGTGGAAATTTTAAAAATAATCAAGTTGTTTTTCAGTGAGGTACCTTTTTTGTTATCTGTGTTCACTCTTCCATTTCATTAACATAAAACAAGTAGAAGTTAAAAAAATATTCAATAGTAGAAAAAAGTTTAATAATTTTACTATGAAGGGAGGGATTTTTATCTATCCCTCTCTATCCCACCAGGTCAGGTTCCAAACAGAGCGATCATACATACATCAAAGAAAGCTAGGGTGCATTTGTGGTAACATATTTATCAACCATTTGATGCAAATCCCTCCTTGATAGACATAAAATCTTATGATCTCATATATATACTCCCCTAATAAGCAGAATACAAAAATCTAAATTCTATATACGCTCATCACCTAAGAAAATTTAAAGTTTGCATTCAGAAAATGTATGTAGTGTGATAATAGAGTAACTAGTATTTGTTCAATTGTTATGGATACCCCAGACATCCATTTATTCTTCCTACTGTACTCCCCACACCCCTGTTGAGGATCACTGCTCTTCTAAAAAACAAAACAAAACAAACATGCTTTTCCTTATCTAGGTAAAAGATAAGTGCTTTATTGTCACCAGCTCATTTTTCCAGTAGTAGTGAAGGAAGGTATGATCTATGATCTGTGATCTAAGATCTCTCTCCCGGTCCCCTCTGGGCTTGAGGGCACCCAATTGTAAAACGAGTAGTGCAATCTGAGGCCACAGCACAGAGTGAGGAATCAGACCTGGGTGACACTGGAATTAAACCTGTAAATTCTTCTTACCTACTGTGTCTTCTTCTAAGAGGCTAACCATCTCAGAAGCACAACACAGGAAAGCTTAATATAATATATTTATTAACTATCAAGAGAAAAATCAAGCCCCCCACCCCTCTTTTTTAATGGATCAGTCAGTAAAAACAATATTGGAATAGGAAAGAGTATTTCCCTTGACGTGCAGGCCCAGAGGTCAATTAAATGACAATGACCTGGACTCCAGAGCTGATACTGCTGCCATCTACTGTGAATCACAATAGTCCTTACAGTGTTTTTTTTTTTTTTTTTTAATCTTTTTGGTATTAAGGAGAACAGAGTAAATGAAACAATCATATACATATTGTTTTCTCTACTCAAAAAAATATATATACATATATTTTAACCTTGATTTGTAAAAGAGGTATTTTGGTATATGAACCTCGAATTCTCCCTTAGTTCTAAAATACGTTAACCCATTCACCAAAGTAAAATTCCCATGGAGAATTTTAGCAAAGATCACTAAGAAGGAGTTTGACACACTGAGACACACACACACACACACACACACACACCACACACACACACACACACACACACACACACACACACACACCCACACACACCCTAGCTCAGTTTTTCAGCAAGAAAGTCACGCTAAAATCTAATCGGTGAAGAAGTTCCTTTCATTTGAGCCTCTCAATTTCCAAGTCAAAGACCAGTCCCAGAGGCTTGTTATTCCAAGCCTGGCACTGGGGAGTGGAGCTTGCTGGAGGCCTCTCCATTGTAACCCAAGGGCAGAGCCTTACACTGTGCCTGTTACATCCTGCCCTTTTCGACTGTGCCCCATCTCCTCCCTTTCCGACACTTTCCTGTTCATTAACAGCTTCCCCAAATCCAGCTCTGTTTAGGGGAAAAGAACCGGAAAACTGTGGAAAAGAGAGCAGAAAAGGAACAGTGTTCTCATATTATCGTTGAGTTATCAATGCAAAGAAATTACCAGCAAGTTAAATTAAAAATTATTTAAAGTCAGAAAACCGGTTATAGTTTTTAAATACTTGTCACACCAATGGGCGTTCTATGCCCTTTTTATTCTTAATCTGCCCAATATCCAACAATTCTTGTGTGATAATAGCAGATTGCTACTTTTATATTGACAGTTACTAATAACCGTGAATCCCGAAATGTTATAACCCTTGTATTACATTTTAGGATTCTCAGGGCCATGTGGTTCCAGGCATTTCATACACTCAGATGTATAAATACGTATATATAGAGGACTAGATATTGCAGCAGAACCCCATACAGAAAAGAAAGCTATTCTTCAGTAATAACGTGGCAGTCAAGCCCTGAAGTTCGCGTGTAAGACGCTCGCTGCCAGAAGGATACGAAAGTCATGACTGCGATATGCAAAAAGCCGCTGGTAGAGAAGTGCCGCCATACGTTTCACATGCATATTTCTTCCCTGAACCCCAGCAGCACTGCACTAGGACACAGACAAGTGCTGCCTTTTGAGCTGCTGGCCACCCATTTACTTAAAGTTTTGAAAAACTTAAATACGTGTAAAGGTATCTCCTTTCATCATAAGGATGTCATATTCTCACATGCGACATGACTCACCTCCATAAAAGGCAATAATTCCTACCAATGTCTTCCAATCACAGCATTTATGCAGGTTTTTTTTGCTCGCAACATATGTTTAACTTAAATATAATCATTTTTTCCCACTTTTCACCAAGCTTGCGCTTTTCTTACAGGTATGTCTGAACCGACTCTTGCTTCTCCCCTTATACTCAGACATACAGAAATCACATATAAAGACAGTGTGAAATCTCTCAAGAAGAAAGTCAGATATGATATGACGGACAGATGATTTTCTTAATTATTTTCTTAATGATTGAAACTGGACAAAATCGGATCCAACAGAAACAAGATGATCTTATACGTTAACCTCTTTTTTTTTTTTTTTAATTGATTGGTAACATTTTAAGCTAACTTTCAATATTAACGTAAAACAAGAAACTCAAGTTTCTCTACTGAGGACAAGCAAGCCTGCTTGAATGTTTTAAAGGAAAATAGGCACTTCCTTTTCCTTCTTTAGATAACTCGATATTTCCCCTGTTATATTTACACAGTTCAGGTGTCTAGACAACAGCACGGTCAATAGAATCGTGCGGGCCCTGCTTTGTTGCCCTTTGCCAAACGCTTCCTTTTGTGGTCTGCACTGGAGTACTATGCATTTTGTTTTGATTTTTCAGGAGTTCAATTTAAAAAGTCTAGCCTAGTTTTCCAAGCATTCACCTGCAAGCATTTTCATCCAAAGCACTGAACTCTCTCCACAACCCCCCACCCCCAATCTGATTAGTGTCAACACAGCTGCCCTATTCTGAGGAATGTAAACTAATATTGTTGTTAGACCTCCCTCAACCTTAGGAAACTTCCTCAAAGCTTTACAGTCTCTTTTAAGAGTTGGATTTTTTTTTCTCTAATTCCTTTGCCCAGTGATTTAAATCCCTAAAACAAACTTGTTGAGAAGAGATGAGAAAGGCCAATATCAATTCCGTAAATAAAATTTTATATAATACACATTTACATATATGCATGTATAAATATTTAACAATACGTCGCTCCAAAATAACTTTGTCATTACATAGTGAAAGTCTAAGTCAATCGCTAGACAATAGGGGCATTACTAAAGTCCCTTCAGGATTTAGGTGGGTCTTTGGATTGATATAATTAAAAACAGAGATGGCTTTAAAAAAAGCTCACCTGATTCTTTTGGGGAAAAAAGCTTCATTTGCTTTTAGGATGAAATCTGAAGATAGAACTAGGCTAAGACAGTCAACTAGTTTGTCTTACTGTTACATGAATACCCATCAGAGGAGTCATTTCAATATAGCTAGCAGAATCTGATCTGCTTTCTCAGTCTGTTCTTATAAAAAGTGATTTTACAAACTCCTAAATATTGAGATATTCGAACACATAATGTCACCCAGAATTTTTTCTTTTCCCTTTTCTCTTACTCTTTCATCTCCTACTTAAAAAGAAAAAAAAAAAATCTTACAGCCACCACAGAAAACATTAACCAAGAAAAGGAGACTCCTATACACAATTTGCAAAAACATTACATTGGGTGACCAAGAACCACAAATATGTAAGTTTTAATTAAAAAATAAAAATGAAAAAGCATCTCTAAATGGAGTGCTAAAATCTAAAATCCTTACCTCACTAAATTGAGTCTGGGCATTGTTTTCCAGGTACAACATGTTAGCTGTAAGATTGATCAATGCTGCTGTCCTCTCTTCTGGCTCCAGGATTTTGCCAACCCCCCCACCCCCTCTGAGACCCTTACAATATGAGTCTACTAAGAAGATAACAGAACTCAAGTCCCTCTCTCTCTCTTTCTCTCTCTGTACATAATTTAAGGTTCCCTAATATATACCCAACTATAGGCATGAGGGGGCGGGACTCTTCTCTTTACCTGTCCAATCCATCAACTTCCACCTGGACTCCTCCACTCCAATGGAGTGAGGCCTCTCCCATCTCATTAAGTAGTTAGAATTCCTTATCACCAATCTTTAAAAGAAAAAGAAAGAAAGAAAAAAAAAAAAAAAAACAGGAGAGAGACAGACAGGTAAAACTTTCCCTGTGTCTTTCATAAGAGAGTGCACTTTCTCCTAAAAACAAAACAAAATCTCTCCAGACAAACCGTACCACCACCACAACTTACAGAAGGCATTACAGAAAGTTATTTTACACTTTTCAACTGAAAAGTAAAACTTCAGGGAAAGTTTTTGGAAGGCTTTTTTAAAAAATTTAGATTTGGGATTTCAAGAATGATTACATAAAGTTAGAAATAAGAGGAAAATACTCAATCCATTGCTATATTTACTCAATATAAAAACTAAACTCACTGCCTGATAGGTGAAAAGTTTTTGACTTATTCTCCCCAGAGAAATGCCCGTGGTTTCATACCAAGCAATGCCAACATATACCACTTGGTTTTTCAGAGCATGTTTTAATAAATTTGAAACCATTGGCCCCTTAACTTGTAAAAACAAACAAACATTCATATTACAGGAAATAGAAATCCTAGGAAATGTGCCCATTATTTTTTTTAAAGAAAGCTTATTTATTTGAATATTTCTTTTCTCTACTTTATTGCACCCAGTTTTAACTAATGCTCAAACATACATATTTTACAGTAAATAGGCAATAAAAAATGATTATTTTACATGATGCTGCTATTTAAATAATTAATAGAATAAATCTTAATGCATGACATACCAATTGGCTTTTGCCTTAAAAATATATTTATATAAATACATAAGGACATTTATGTAGAATCTGGTCTTGGTCATCATAATTTAGTGAAGATGAAATACACCCTGATGGTTATTATGCGATTCACTAAAATACTCACATAGTACTGCCGAGTATTTGTAATTCAGTTAGTTTTATATCTAAGCATCACCTCCCCTCCACACCCCAATAAGATAGCCAATTCTCTCCATTCTGCCTGTAAGTTACAACTAGCCAAGATGAATATAAATGAATAGATTGCTTCTAAATTTTAGATTAGAAGAAAATTCAAAGCCAGAACAGATTAGTATATACATTGCAGAAATAAAGTTTGTAAATATGTTCATGACCTTTGATTTACTTCCTCTTTACTTCTACTTTTGCATCTATAAAATGCATACACGTAACAGATGATGTGGTCATTGGAGTGGTATTTATTTTGAGGGCCCTGAACTATTGGTAATAATGTTTCCTTTTTTCCCAAAAAATCTTCCATAATTTGATCTCAAGTATTCATGAATGTGACAATACTCTGTAACACTACAAATTTATATCACACAAAACTTTCTCTTCTTCACTCAAATATTGGGAAGAATGACCTCTCTTACTATCTGTAATTAACCAAATGAACACTGGCTAGAAGGCAAAAAAAAAAAAAAAAAAAAAAAAAATTACAAAATGCAGTATAATTATTTGTACCATGTATTTAAATTCTACACCCACTGACAGCTTAAGGGCCAATAGTAAAAAGCAAATGGTTGTTTCCTTAAAGCTATGCTCTATTCCAGTGGTTCAAAAACTTGGATGACTCTGAGAATCATCCAGGGTGCTTTTTAAAAACAGATTTCTAGACCTGGACCCAGATCTACTGAATCAGACTCAACAGAGCTGCAGCCCTAACAACTGGATTTTATACAGCCTGCTAGACAGTTCTGAATGAGTCATGCTTGAGAATCAATGTTCTAGAATAGATGCTGTTAGCACAACTGCCCAGAAAGTCATTATTGGATTCTTTTTTACATTAATGGGAATAGTAAAACCATTTGAATCCCTAAATCTAGGTCTTACAGTCTCAAGTGTTGATGATATACAATTAAAATGTAAACAAACTTTATCTTTCACAGAGTCAAGAGTCCCAGCAGGATTTGACAGATGAAAAAGTCATATTCTTTCTAGGCACCAGCTCAGCCATTGACATAATTAAATCTGACTATGGTCTCTAACATATCTACCAAGATTCTGGAAAAAAATCTAAGATAATATATCCACTGTGGCTACTTGAAAACTTTGAATAGTTGAGGGAAAACAGCACTGGAAGGGGAGTTAGGAGATATGGGCTCTGTTCCCAGCTCTGCCTTTAGCTAGCTCTGTGCCCTTGGGGCAAGTTACTTAACCATTCTGGATTCAGATTCCTCATTTGTGAAATTAGGGGCAGAACTAAATGATTTCTGAAGACCATAACAAAAATCAGATTTTGTCTTTTTCCAGTATTCAGGGTAGTAATTTAGAGGAATGCTCCTATTTCTTTTATTTTACTTAGACATTTGTTGCTCAATTTGATCATTTCTGTATTATATAACTGAAGTAGTCTAGTTGCTCATATATTTAGATGACATAAAGAAAAAGGAACAATATATTGGGGGAAAATCCATGTTTTTTGATTTAGGATATCCTCAAATGAAAAATTAGCTAATAGTCCTTATGAATTTGAACTTGGCACAAACATTTCCATAAAAGAGCTAATTAAAGCACATCTGATAATGTTTGATTTCAGAATTAGTGTGAGTACATGATATAAATACCATGTGTTTATTTAAGCAGGAGGTTACAAAGAAGCAAGAATTTTCTGTGCTCATTATACCGTAATGCTTATCTGTCGATCTCAAAGGTTTAGTAGGGTGCATTAATTTTTCTAACAACCTAGTGAGGTAGGTAAGTATTATTATCCACATTTTGTAGATAAAAAAACAAATTCAAAGATTTTAAGTGGCTGTCCCACGTCTTCAGGAGTCAGAATAACTCTATTTAGAGTTCCTGACTTTCTGTTCTCAGCCATTTCCCCAGATTCCTTAAAGCTTCGTGGGCTGGGAATTAGGACTCAGCACTGCCCTCTGGATGAAAGTCCCTCTGCTGTAAATCTACAGCTTTCAACAATAGAAGTCGAAGATGTGGGGTCAACACATATGCCTTCCAGAAATAAGGAAATATTAATATTTTGTTGAATATCCTTAACAGTTATTCATCTCTATCGTAAGTGCTGAAAATATTTTTCTGCATATGTGTCTGTATATGTGTGTGTAACTGGTCTTTCAAACTTGCATATAGTGCTATGGTTTGTTCTTTGATGTACAAAAATTCTAATTTTTTCTGTAGACAAATTTATCATTTTTTTCCCTTATACTTACTGGTTTTTGGACATAGTTCGAAAGGCATTTCCCAGCCCAATGTTAAAAAAAATTATGCAACCATACTACAGAATCATATCACGGTTTTTGAATTCTTTTTACACACAACTATTTTAACTTTCCAGAATTTATATTTGTATGAGAAACAAAGGAGGATCCACTCCTAGCCACAAAAAATAAATGACTGATCTTCGTTATTTATTGAATAATATTTTTCTCTGATTTGAAATGCCAAAAGTTCATGGAAAAATAGAATTGAAAATTAATACGAATCTTTCCATGAGCTTTTTGAAGACCCCTTGTACACCAAATGTCAATGGCTCCATCTTATAATCTCTATATGAGAAAGTTAAGCAAGTCTATAAATCCTAGGGACATAGAAAATATTTGTTTGAAGTTCTTAATATATCTTACGTGGAGTTGAGTAGGCAACAAAACGGCAACTATAAAATTCTAGAAAGTAAGAAATGGAAGTGATTTTGTGTTCTCGGGCCTATGTCTGCACCAACAGGTAGAGGTAGGTGTAGAGGAAGTGACATGTTTAGGTTTTGTGAAACTGAGTAAGAGATAATAGAGATGATGGGTTCCATCATGAAGACTTAGTTTCATTAAATTGAGAGATAAGTGAAGTTAAAAGAGACTAAGGGCTTGGGTAAATTTGGCTAAGTTTAGGTAGTCATTATTTAAATTAAAATAAAAATTGGTGGCTTGTTTTTATAGCAACAGTTAATATTCTGAGAATGTGTAGCTGGTTCTAAGTGGGAATATATCAATCCTTCTATTCTTTAACTAAAAATCTAGCAGACTGAAGTAGAAAAAGGAATATCCAGCAATGATGCTTTACTTTCTCCCCTCCCGTTAGGGCCCCTCACCATCACTTCATCTTTCCTAAAGAGCAACTCTGATCATGTTACTCCTCTGGGTGCCTCAATGCCAATGGGACAAAACCAACTATTTAGACAGGCATTCCAGGCTTTTCAAAATCTGACCTCAAACTACCTCTCAGCTTCATGTTTTCTATATTCCACTCTGTTAACTATATGCTGGCCCCAGCTGACTATTTCTGTCCCTCGGTTTGGAATGCTTTCATATTCTTTATCTGATACATTCAAATATTTTCAGGTACTTTAAGTGCTACCTTTGTGAGGACTTCTCCAACCCCTGGCTGAAGTTAAATCTTCTCTTATCCTACATGAGTACATGTAAAAGTGGTGATAAAATTCTTCCTCTTAGTACAAAAAGTTGTATACTGATCTGTCTCCTCCACTAGACTATGAACTTTTTGAAGTTAGAGTACATTTATCTTTATCATATCACATTTAGTGTCTAAAAGCTCAAGGAATATAAGTTCAATTAAACAATTTTACTCTATAAGAATAAACTAGAAAGTTGAACACTAGATTGCTTTCCCAATGTATTTCTCATAAGATAGATACTTGTTTCACAGAAATACCTTTCCTGTAAAAAAAAAAAAAAAAAAAAAACAAAGCCCAGAATCAAATTGAAATAAAGGGAAAAAAAAATATCTTTATCATATCACATTTAGTGTCTAAAAGCTCAAGGAATATAAGTTCAATTAAACAATTTTACTCTATAAGAATAAACTAGAAAGTTGAACACTAGATTGCTTTCCCAATGTATTTCTCATAAGATAGATACTTGTTTCACAGAAATACCTTTCCTGTAAAAAAAAAAAA